GGAAAGGATTTTAATAACAAAATTTTGATTTTTCCTTCTCACCGAAAACCGTTAAGTAAATTTACTATCCAAAATACTGTAAATAGATACAAATCCAACATTTTAAAGCGCCATAAGCAGTTATGAAAGGCACTAAACTTAATCCGAACCGAAATTCTCTAGAAACGTGGGAAACTAAGGTCGTTTGAAATTAATGTTGTTTTAAGGAATGCATAATTAGGCACCAATTATGCGCCCTCATCAAAAACAAATTATTCTCCCCAAACTTCACGGAGCCGTGACCGAATTGTAATACGTTTTTTCATAACAGAAACTATACGTTATAAATTATAATAATATTTAGGCCTAATAGTACATTATTGCAAAAGTCGAATTATTTCGGCTAACTGATTTTTGGAATTATTATTATTGCAAAACTGGGACTGGTCTGCTCATATTTACCCAGTCAAACAAATAGACGAGCATACGGTTTCATAGGGAAACTGTTTAGTTGAAGACTTTCGTTTTTCAATAAGTGCTCATTTACAATCTTTGCAAAATTTAATTCCAAACGCGCAAATTGGCATAAAGTTGGTGCCCAATTTTTTGCATAATGAAAAAGTTGCATCTACATAACGTCAATCGACCCAATTTAATATTTTCGCTATTTATAATTAGGGTAAAACATTCTTTTTCCAAAAACGACGAGTAATGGATAAATCTGGAAAACAAAAAAGTTGTTTATAAAAAAATCCGCGCCTAAAGGTGACCCAATTTTTGAAATTGTATGTATTTTCCGGGGTGAATTTTGACTTCAGTGGCGCGTATTATTGAAGATTAATCATAAATTCATTTAAATTACAATACTTACGAACAACTTTGCTAACTTCACAGTTCACACACCAACTTTTAAAGATGTTAAATGAGGTGGTTATTATAAATACTAATTGCAAACAGGACCTGTGATAATAATAATTGTATCAATCTATATCATTACCACTTTTGACAGGAAACATTTGGGCGCAAATTACCTACGGAACATCCAAATGCTAAATCATATACAGGAAATATGAATGCTATTAGGAAAGATGCTATAAAATTAGATCGCGAACGATTGTATAATTTACCATTTGAAAAGGCCGATTATTAAAAAGTGTAACAAATCAACAAATACGTATTTATTGAAACAGAATTGGCGTGACAAGGTAAATAACAGAAAGTATGAGAATGGATGAAGACCTATATCACACTGATTCGGAAGATTCTTACTTAATCTGTGTTAAGATCTCCCACATATAAAAGCCGTCATCAATTAGAAGACGCATTATTGTTTTACCTTTCGATCTTTCAACTTTAAATACGAAAAAAAACGCTCGGCTTAAATGTGTTACAGTAATTTAGTTAATCTCATTTTTGTTTAATTAGATTTGTGTGAGTTTTCTGTGATTGTTAAACATGAAGTTTCTTAATACGGCCATTATTTCTTTAGGAGGATTTTTAATTCAACTAGTTTTATGTGTAAGTAATGACTCAATTTTTTTTGTTGTTGCAAAATTTAGCGCACTGTAGTTTACGAATTGCACTAGTTTCGTTAATATTGGCAATTGAGAACTTTTACTTGGTGGTTTAAGTTAACCTTGCTGATCAAATACCAGATTTTATCTAAAATGAGTGCAGGATTCATTCAATGGTCAGTTACAGGAAATGTTATTATTTAAAAGCGGAAGCCCAATCTTAACATTACTGGCTAATCTATTGTTATAGAGTGCCATAAACTGAAAACAATCCATTTATGTGCGCGGATTCACACATGGATAATTACCATAACATGCATTGTTGTGTTCGGTTTACAAAAATTTTGTTTCAGCAACTCGATGGTTACATACCAGGCCAAGATTATCCCACTTATAATGAAATACCACGAACTTCATTTACATGCGAGCAAAAAATTCCGGGATACTACAGCGATCCAGAAGCTCAGTGTCAAGTTAGTGAAAATCGTCGAAATTCTGTGCTACAACTTAGACTGTTTCCAGGTTTGGCATTGGTGCGTACCAGGTGGTCCCCAGTACAGTTTTCTGTGCCCTAATGGAACCGTTTTTAACCAATTTGCTAGAGTTTGCGATTGGTTCTTTAACGTAGATTGTGCGGGTGTTCAAAATCTGTACGGAATTAATGAAGACTTGTACATAATACCGGGGTACAATCCTCCGCCCCAGTAACGACAACTCACGCCAGATCACCAAGATCGATCTGATCATCTCATATTTAAGAGTTATTTATTATTTTTATTTAATTTTTGTATTGTACATAATATTTTAATTGAAATAAACTGAATGTCTACGTTTAGCAACTGTAAAACGTAAACAGGCACGTTAACAATCCCGTTTCCCTGTGGGAAAGATTTGATTACCTAATACTTTCTTACCGGTGCTATATAATATACAAATTGTGCTGTATTTGATTCAATCTAATGCACTCTCTCTTTTCTTTCGAAAGTACCATCAATACGATATTGCACATAATTAAATTGCATATCATTCGGGCATAAAGCACCACTACTTAGTTGTAATGGCTTAGTAACTAATACTAAATTAATGGTAACCAAAATATAATCGGGAATGAAATATTGCCTTCTGCTACATTATTGTTGAATATGGTGATATAAGCATCCGAATTTCCATAGCAGATGTAGAAGCTACAGGCTACTACTTTCTTATTTCTTATGAGTGCCATATTGGATTTTTACAGAGTGAGATAAAACCCAAGAAAAGAAAAATAATCACGTGTCACAGTCTATACTTTTTTATACAGGGTGGTGCCTAGCACAACGCAGCATAGGGATTTCAATGGTAATTTCTTTATAGTCAATTACTAGCTCCCCTAATTATTTTAGAGCAAAAGTCTAAATACGTTTTTTTTTAGAGAAAAAAATACTGCATCTGTTCATACTTTTAGTTATAATTTTCCATTTTTCAAAACCGTAGAAATCGATAAAATAAAAAATTACATTTTTATAAATCAGTGATGCTTTGGAATCTTTATAACAAACTACAAGCGCATCGCATCTAAGTTATCGTTGTTTGACGTCGAACGATTTTCATATTTAATTCTGTTACAACTATCCGATGCAAGAAAAAGCGGCAATTGGGTAATGTTTTTTTAGAGAATGTATGCTGCATCTGCATCAGATACTATTTGTTTATCAGAGAGAATCAGAGTACCTACATAATCGAAGAGAAAAAAACTGATTTGAAGCAGATTTGTTCCTAAACTTATATTCGGATTTTCCGCTACTGCAGCCAAAACGTTGAATGTATTGTCGTTTTCCTGATGGTTTTGACGGACATTTTGAACGTTATTGCACTTGCAGTTCTTTAACTAATTTATAAACAAGTATAAATTTAATATACGTCAAAGGCAAATAATGAAACGTGATCGCTGTTTTTTTTAGGTAATTCCAAGGCATATTTGATTTATTGTAAAATGAACCTTTTTATTTTGTCGATTTCTACGGTTTTGAAAAACGGAAAATTATGAGTAATAGTATGAACAGATTCAGTATTTTTTTCTCTAAAAGAAACGTATTTAGACTTTTGCTCTAAAATAATTAGGGGAGCTAGTAATTGACTATAAAGAAATTACCATTGAAATCCCTATGCTGCGTCGCGCTAGGCACCACCCGGTATATAAACTGTACCTGACTTTACTAGTGGTAATTGATGTAAACAATAGCCAGGTTGCGGACAGCATTTTCCGTTATGTTAGACGGCCATTTTTTCTTATAACATAAGAAATATAAATTTTTGTAGAAATAATTTACGGTATGAGGGCTTTTTGTACGATATATTTATAAATAGCGGAACCAATGAAAATGAAGTTCGTATAATGTGTCACTGCGCAGTACGTAATCACTCATAAATAACATTTTCCTGCTAACCTACAATTGTGCAGTGTTTATGTTGGCGGTAGTTCTTTTCTTTTTGTCTAAGAGCATAGTAGTGAACTTTGGACATTTTAACACAATGTAAAATAAAAGTGAGGTTAAGACTCCTTCAAACTTATAAGCAAAATTGAACACGCCCACCACACACCGCAACTTAACTTTGCTATAAAAATGTTTTATACTTATAAACTTATATTATAAGGAAAAATGGCCGTCTAACATAACGGAAAATGCTGTCCGCAACCTGGCTATTGTTTCAGAAGCCTTAAATAATGAGTTTCGATAGAAAACTGGTTATAGAAGCAGCGTATACCAAATTTTCCAGGAAATTCAATTGTGGTTATGGATAACGCAATTGTGATCATAAATACGCTTGAATTGGTTTAAAGTTTAACGTTGATGATTGTTGAAGCACAACGAATATTGCTTTTTTTATTCCCAATCGGCAATAACTTCCATTTCACAATCAACGGCTCAATATACCCTGTTTAAAGGTCTTCTAAGTTCCTCGGCCTGCTAGTAGACGAGACTCTCTCCTGGACTAATAATGTCGACCCGTGTAGCGCAGTTCAGTGGAAGCTCAACTGCGGTACAGGGTCCCTGGTTCGAATTCGGGTTCGGGCATGGATATTTGTAAATGTATAGTGGGTTGCGTCTATGTCTATGGATCTATGTCTTGAACTGTGTTTCGTATGTGAACAGACGCAAACATCACTTCATGACCCACAAAGACGTACACGATTATGATACTCGACACCGGGAACGCTTGCGACTGGATAAGCCAACTCACTCGTTCTACAAGAAGTCACCAGATAGTCTAAGAGCCAGCGACACACAACCCTACGTCATGGCGGAATTCAACAAAAATATTATTAATAAGTAGGTTTGAAAGAGGAAAAAACAAAACCGCCATGTCTGCCAGGCATATCCTGTGCTTATTGTTGCTAATTAATTAATTAAGTGTACAAAAAAAATAGGTTACTTACGTCATGGCGGAATTGGAAAAAAAATATATGGGATTATTGCTGGCAACGAGCACATCACGTAAACATATGTGTGCCAGCCGATTCCCCGTGCTGAATACATGTCTGCCGGGCGCGAAAGGGGTATAAAAAACAGTCGCGCTTACGTCATCACGGAATTTAGCGAAATTTTTTTAAAATGTAGATAATGTCTGCCCTGATAATACTGCATATGTCTGCCGGGCAAATTTCTGTGCCAAAGTAATGTCTGCCACTTTTTATGAAGCGACTTTTGGTCCCGAATCATGTCATTTGATGTTAATAAAAATGCGGTTTTCATTGCTTTTTCCAGTGAATTTCTACATTGACTAGGTAAGGGTCTGTACGAAGATGGTGTCAGCTTGTTTTTATTTGTTTTCAGGTTAGGTATTATAAGGGCTTCTTTCCATTCTTCTGGGTAGTTGTGTTGTTCTAGTATGGTATTGTATATTTTCAAGAGAAGGTTTTTCCCTGTTGGTGGAAAATGTCATTTCGACGTGTATATTATCGGCGCCAGGGGTCGAGCAGCGGGTGTTATTAATTGCTCTGTCTACCTCTACCATTGTTATTGGGGTGTTATATGGTTCTAGGTTTTGTGATTCAAAGTTTACTAGTTTTTCGGTTTCTTGTTTATATGTGTTAAACTTGTCGCTGTGTTGTTTGTTGCTAGATACTCTTTCGTAATATTGAGCTAATTCATTGACTACTTCATTCGGGTCTATGGTAATGTCGTTGTTTATTTCTAGGGCAGCAATTGTGTTACTTGGTCGGTGACCACGTAGTTTCCTGATATTATCCCATAGGGTTTTGGTAGGCGTGTTGCTATTTATAGATAATACGAACAGTTTCCATGTTTCTTTTTTTCTTGTTTTTATTAGTAGTCTAGTTTCGGCTTTAATTCTTTTATATTGTATGAGGTTTTCCAGGTTCTTGTACTCTCGAAAGGTTTTTAGTGCTTTTTTTCGTGTTTGTAGGTAGGATTCGACCACTTGTTCCACCAAGGTGGATTTTTACTTTGATAGGTTTTTTTTGGCTATCGATTGCCGCGATGCCTCATTGATGATTTTATATAGGGTTTCTAGATCGTTTTTGGGAGGGATTTGCGTTGTGATCTGCTGGGCGATAGAACTTTCATATCTTTGCCAGTCTGCTGTGGCGATTCTCCATCTTAGATTGTTTGTCTTATAGGTGTTTTAAAATTGGGTAATGGTCGCTATTACACAGGTCGCCATGGGTAAACCATTGTAGTTTCGAAGCTATGTTACAGCTTGCTATGCTATGTCTATAGAAGAAAAGGATCCGGAGCCTGATGAAAAATGGGTGGGAGAGTGGTCGTTTACGAGTACCATTTCTGGGTGGCGGAGCAGTAATTTCTCAAATATTTTGCCTTTGGTATTAATCAATTTCCCGCCCCACATGGTATTATGTGCGTTGGCATCGATGGCAAGGATGCATAGGAGATTTTCCATTTCATTGTAGCTTGTGGTTGTGTGGGGCGGTATGTACAGATTGCATATATTTACTTTTTGTGTATAAGATTATTTCCCCAGCCACTGCCTGTCTATTTCACCAAATTATAATTTATTACTTCGCGTTTACGATATTGATAAGCAGAAACGAAGCAGTAAACTCCAATTTAATTCATTTGAAAAAGTTGAATGTCGGTATTAAATTAAGCAATAATTTGTTAATCAAATGATACTGATTCGGGACCAACGTCGAAATGATTAAACATCTTCCACCAACAGGGAAAATACCAATACAATACCATACTAGAACAACACAACTACCCAGAAGAATGGAAAGAAGCCCTTATAATACCTATCCTGAAAACAAATAAAAACAAACTGACACCATCCTCGTACAGACCCTTACCTAGTCAATGTAGAAATTCACTCGAAAAAGCAATGAAAACCGCATTTTTATTAACATCAAATGACACGATTCGGGACCAAAAGTCGCTTCATAAAAAGTGGCAGACATTACTTTGGCACAGAAATTTGCCCGGCAGACATATGCAGTATTGTCAGGGCAGACATTATCTACATTTTAAAAAAAATTTCGCTAAATTCCGTGATGACGTAAGCGCGACTGTTTTTCATACCCCTTTCGCGCCCGGCCGACATGTATTCAGCACGGGGAATCGGCTGGCACACATATGTTTACGTGATGTGCTCTTTGCCAGCAATAATCCCATATATTTTTTTTCCAATTCCGTCATGACGTAAGTAACCTATTTTTTATGTACACTTAATTAATTAATTAACAACAATAAGCACAGGATATGCCTGGCAGACATGGCGGTTTTGTTTTTTCCTCTTTCAAACCTACTTATTAATAATATTTTCGTTGAATTCCGCGATGACGTAGGGTTATGTGTCGCTGGCTCTTATAGACTACTACCAATTCGCCACTCGTTTTATGTTTCAGCGTAATACTGACTCGTGTTTTAACCAATCACAGTGAAGGTCAAACTGTCCCTATGCTTTCTACCGCTACCTTCTTAAAATGAATACAGTATATGAGTATAGTCATAGAGTAAAATAATTATTTACTCTATGGTATAGTACAGTCAAATTAGATCAAAAAATGAGCATTCCGTGCATCAGATATGTCATCTCTATTTTTTCTTTTGAATTGTTAGGATGAATATGGATGTGAAAAATCCAAGTTTTCGACATTGAAAGACCTGTGCGAGCGACACAGCACTTGCAAATATGTCATTTTTCTTATCATTTTTTGGTTTTTGTAAGTTTTACTCCTGAAGGATCGATTTTAATGCAATTATTGTCGTATACTTTTTTGAACTAGACACAATTTCTGATAATTTAAGCCCTTAACGATCTCCGCAAGTCTAATAGTTTCCGAGATACGGCGCTTCAAATATTGGTAAATTTATTAGTTTTACAAGTTTTATCAAAATTTGCGTTTTTTTCTCAGAAACTAAACTTACCAAATTTGCACGATGAATTGTCGTAAGTCGTGAGTCGTAATAAACTTGTTGTTGAAGAAGTGCTAAAAATTGCGGATAATTAAATTTTGATTTTTGTCTTTTAGTGGAAAAATATCCATCCATGTTTATGTAATGCCTTACTCCAACCATAGTGTTGTGAGTAAGCTTTCTCCTACTGTCACATATTTTCTATAATCGGTGTCCCTTGTCGAGCAAGGTCAGGCAAAAGGAAAAATTCACAGATTTTGCAATCCATGCAACAGGTAGTGGATCTTGCTGAAGAAGAAGAAGATGACAACTTTCTTATCATGGGAGAAGCTAAGGATCCAGGGGATATCAACATTCTTCTGTGCGGATTTATGGAGACTCCTCGCCATAGTGAGATTTCCTATGTCTACTTTTACTTTTACATGATAAAAAGTCTCCTGAAAGACGCCTAATTCAATTGTATCCGGTTCCGGTGCATGGCAGTCGTGGCATCGTTCACTTGATGACATTGTTCACTGAATTAAATGTAGAAAACAACTCCAAGGCCCTAAGCATTGTATATTTATTAGTTATACCATTTAATTTATAAACTATCTATAAATTCAATGGTTATACAATGCCCGAAATCTATGACTGCAACCATTCGTTTTAACTTTTGCTTCACCCTATACACTACTGTAGTAACAGGGATTTTCGTGTGTATCACATGCAATTTCGTCAGTCGGCCAGTCTGCCAATTATCAAATTGATTACTATGTAATTGTGGGACACTTAAAAAATTACAATAGAAATATTTTTCGCAGTTTTTTTCTCTCGATGAATTGACAATGTGCGGAGGATTTACTTGCTCTAAAAATGCCCTGATTTCTTTAAACATTTTATACATTGTAAGTACCTTCATAAATGCCATTTTTAATGCAATATTGATCAATAATAAACCTGTTCTTTTTCTTTTACAGCTTGTATCCTTTATTTTAATTGGGGTCGCCGTGTATGGACGAGCCGCATCTCTTGTTACTAATTTACCAATTGTCGGAGGAATACTAGCATGTGGAGTTATATTGTTTTTGATATCGCTCCTCGGACTGGTTGGTGCCGTGAAGCATCACCAAGTTATGCTCTTTTTTGTATCCTTTACTCGTAAAATATGTTTTTCGATTGAAATTGAGAGGTTGGTGTATTCTGCTTCAGCTTTTTAAGTCTGTACATTGCATATTTTGAAAGCGGGTATTTTATTCTATAGAATATTTAATGGCGACACCAAATTTATGTTAATGGGGCTTTGTGATAATTAAACGGGAGGTATTTGTAGAAATTACCATGAAAACAATTTTAATCCCTCAGTAATTAATCACTAACCAGGCCACATTTAGTAGTATAATTATCAAGCCTATAATTCAAGGTACCAAAATGATTAATATCTACAGAACTATTCTTTCTGCAACGTATTATGTAGAAGTATAAACTTTGACTTGACAAAAAAGCCTTAAAAACAAATAATAATGCATTGTCTCAAGTTTATGAAGTGGATCCTTCTGCACAAGTACAAGGGTTCACCCATTGTATAAGAGAGATAAATCCCATACTCCAGGTAATAACGGGCGATCAGAAATGAGTTGCTGTCGAGTCGCCTTTGCAAGTTCAAGTTAAATACGATTTTCCATGTAAACAAAAATTTTAAAGGCGACTCGACAGCAACTCATTTTTGATCGCATAGTACAAGTTTTCTATGGGCCTTCCAGAATGTTGTACACATTTTTTGGGTCTTTCCAGGGCCTGCTATGTCACGAGAGCTTTAGAAAAGAGTGAAGGTGTTCATGAAATGCACGTTCGATATTCTGGGAAGCATTAAGTCTCTGAAAAACACGCTTTCTACAGGAATAGTTGGCTGTACGAGTCTCCCATGCATTTACTATAGCCCTTCATAAGTATTGTAATGCTATTGTGACGAACTGTTTAAATCCTTTCCAGAATTTCTTAGGGATCTTATCAGAGCTTTTCATGCATTTTTTACAGCTTTTAGGTAATACACTTATCAGTTTACATCGCAATTATCTAAAAACACTAGTTCATTTTTTCGAAATTCACCTTAACTAATCTTATTCTATTATGAAATAGAAAGTACACTTAAAACAAATGATTAATTTGTGACCATTGTTTACTGTCTGACATTCTTTTGTTTTTTATTATTACACCCCACTGCGGTGTATAAACATGTAATTAATTAATGACGTTACACAGATAAAATTAATAAAACCTACACCTTAAAAATTTTCCCCTTGCAGAACTTGTTGAATGTGTGCCCTGAAATACAGAACATTTTATTAGGAATGCCGGTCTCCCTCCAGATTTTTACACATAGCTAAATATAGCGCACATTAACCCTCTCATTCTCTGTCACAACGGCTCCTAGAGTCGGCAACACTTTATCGTTTCGACTCTTATCCACTTGTTCCTTATCTTAAGGTTCTTTATTTTTCGGAAATACGTTCTGGTCTCTTTCATTATGAAGCGTTACACATATAAAACTTTCTATACCAGTAATTTCGTAAGTTGCCAAATTTAATATGTAAACCTAAAGCGACCGCCTGGTACATTGCGTTCTTTTTTTAAATGAAACTTATTTCGATATTTACGATATGATTGCACCATTGTGCCCACTTGTCTTAAAGTTAAACAAAATGGAATAACTAATTCTAATTTTCCGAAATGATAGAGTGTACTTAAATAAGCATTGTTTATTTTTGTATGGTCTCCCTAGGTACAGACGCTTTCAGGTTGCATCAACAGGAATCTGTGTGACCTAACGACAGTCGTGGTATGATCGTCGGGACTACCAGCTTTATTTGCCCTTCATGCTACAAAATTTTACATTTTACAGTCCGTCTTGCCGCCAGGGGTCATTGCTCCAAATGAATCGCTGAACCTTTGTTGTGTTACGCAGTTACGCCCCCTGATGATCAGGCGCGATAAGCCAATTAGTATATTTATTTTTTTGACAGTACTAGGAATTACATTAACATAGCTGTGATTTTGAGTCAGCATCTTGTATGTAAATACGGAAGATGGAAAGTGTTGAACATGTAGGCCTTTCCAGTACTAAGTTTTCCATTAGTCATTAGCAATATATATAATTTATAACATTTATAATATGTCATTTGGTATAATGCACTTATTTTCTTAACGTATCCTAGTATATGGTGATACTGTTTCTTCTCTTTCTCATTCAATTTTCTGTAGCGTGCGCGTGTTTAGGTGTTAACATGGAACAACAAGAGCAATTGGCTGAACAGGTATTAAGAATCAATCTGACGTAATACTGTTTTTGCAAGTTGTTATCCTAGGGTTGGGAGAAAATGGATAACAATACTAGAATGGAAGTACAGCAGGCGTTTGGTTGTTGTGGTTTTGATGAAAAATCTACTGATAATCGAAAAATGGATCATCCCAGTTGTGACGCGCTTAAGGTACACGCCTCTTAAACTAAATATTCAAATACCACATAATCAATTGTAGTGCTGTGCAAATCCGGAGAAAAGCTGTCATTGCTCTTCATGCATGAATAAATGGCAGACAACAATTAATTATGCCTTCAAATTGTGTGGTTGGATTGGACTTTTCTTTAGTTTTACAGAGGTAAGATCATGGGAAATATTCCCAGTATATGTGAAACTTTTTATACACGACTAATTTGATTTTTTTTAAGTGTCTTCATCTGAGAGGTGATCTGTATATATTTGTTTAACAAACTTTTGATATTGTTTGGAATTCTTCCTACTGGTTGGAGTTGAACAAATGTGACATCTTACTTTCTGCAAATAATTGTCTGAGTCATGGTTTAATTCACTCATATTAAACAATCTGCAACAATGCATATTGTGTAGAAAACAAAACAATGCAACAATATTTAATGTTTACAAAAATCACACATTGCCACAATTTCAATTGCCACGTTTATTTGATAGAATTAGTTTTCTAGTTTATTTTCCAAATGCCATAAACTTGGGACGAATAAGACAATTATGCCTTTTTCTTATATGAATCTCGTTGCCAGTGCTAAACTTAATCCCTGACCCAGACAAATAATCAATTAGTAAGCGAGTAATTAGAATTTGCTGGTTAAATATTACATATAGTTTAGGTGTTCACATTTGTACCATTCCTATTTTGGGGAGTTTGTGACACGCAAGTTGTGTTGTCAGCATTTGTCAATTCTTGTGCATGTTGCAGTTTTTGGGAGTATGGTTAACTGTGAGGTATCGTAACCAGAAAGACCCTCGAGCTAATCCCAGTGCTTTCCTTTAGTCGCATCACAGTTTGTAGTTTGGTGGGTCTAACATACTAACACATTGTTTTTGACAATTTTAATTTAACTTACATTGCTTAACTGCTTTACAAGATGGGACAAAAATGAAATACTATTATTGCTCTTAATTTACTTTGATTGATACTTTTACTTTGAAGCTAGTAGCTTGGACTGATGTTGAAGAATTCTAATTTATCTCATCTTGACTACTCTGTTGCAAATTTTAGTGGCTAATTCAACTATATTTTCACAAAACAAAAATGTTTAACAAAAACATTTTTGTTTGAAGCAATATTTCTATGTCGTTTATGTTAATTGGTATTTTAGGTAGTGGGCATGTTTCTGACAAGGCATTATCGCAACCTAACAGATCCTGATGAAAAAGTAGCAACAGCAATCTTTCCAAGCCATAACTTTATTTACTAGTCATTTTTTGATTTATTGGATTTTATACCAAAGAATCAGGTTTTTTAATTTATTATACATATGTGGTGCATTTCCAAGCAACATCGACATTTTTCTTACACATAATGTAATTTGTTATGTTAACGATCTCTAAATATATTTATTTTAGTTTTTGTTATTTCTATTGTATAATGTACAAAGACATATATAAGACATTTGTGACTAAGGAACCAGTGTTTTGAAAGCTGTTACTATTACGTGCATATACTGTAGATAGTCATAGCGCAATAAGAATCAGTGCACATAGATACATTGATATCGCATGCTGTGATTGTTATTGTGCTGTACTGAAATTAATTAATATGTGTTTACTAAACAATAGCAGTAGCATGATATTAGGCTATCAGACTGTAATTAATGTGAATTTTCAAATCATACAATTTTATTTTAAATAGTGTATACTATTAAATATAGTGAAGTGTGTATGTATCACTGTGCAAAAAATGAAACTTTTGCTTAATGTAATTAGTAACTTTTTGTCTGTACAATACTGAAATGTAACAAAATCTTCCTCTCAATTTTATATATTAAACTAAATTCAAAATCATGATTGACAATTGTTTCCTTTCGCATGAATGAGCCGTTTACATGTTCTCTGATGATAAGTAGAACAAATAGTTAAATTGAATTGGTTTTATGTAAGTACTAATCATTAATTGAACGGATTACATGTTAATGGCACTTCATGGCATAGGTAGTCCCAGTTTTTTCGATCTTGTACATACCTATGTACTTATAGGGTGTATCCTTTCGGTAGGTAAAACTTCACTATGTGATTTAATATTTCTTGAGTAAAAAAGTAATCAACATTTTCTTCTAGGTAAATCTTGCAGGAGGTATAAACCATCCTGCTAATAACTATGATTCAGTAGGTACACCAGAAAATAAAAATCCGCAATTATATGTGAGTTTGAGAAAACGTAGTAGGTAGTCCTGGCCCCAGAGGATTCGACCTTGCAAATTTCTGAGACAAAGAACCATGATGCAGGGTGTATGTTTTTTGGGTCGCTGAATCCAAATTTGACATTCGCACAAAAATGCGGATGACGCGAGAGCCGCCATCTTGGAAAAATGGGCGGTTTTTCCACAAAACGCGAAATAATTCATTTGATATCGGTTTTTTGGCGAAGAAACATCAGTAATAAATTAAAGTACTCTACTCTCTCTAGGGCCTGGACTATAGAAGTGTTTTTCAAATTTATTACACTTATCGGACAAATGTTTCTATTTTCATTACTGTATCGGTATGTGGCATTTGACATAAAGCTATCCTGATGATGATAACAGTCGCTGTGCTGATTGCGAACGTTGCGGCAACTCATCCTTCCAAACCAGAATAACCCAAAATCCAAATCTTCCTTTCATTTGTTCTTTCTTAGACACAGCAGAGACTAGCATCCAAAAATCTAAACAAACCGTTTTTGAGATATTCGCTTTTAAAATTTTGGCATCACCAATCGATATATTTCTCCTTGGCGCCCCAATCGTCCTTTGCGTGTACCCTCCTCCGACAATCCGCTGTTCAGATATAAGGAATTATAACCGACCACGATAAGGGGCCGAGTAGGAGGAGTATGGTTGGTAGAAATTAAATGCTTTCGTAAATAGCATTGCGCATTGTCTACATTAGAAATGTTTTGAATACCTTCACAAATAACAAATACAGCATGCGTAAACAGTAATTTTGAAACCGGTATTAGTTTTAGCATTGGTTTTAGTTTCATTCAAAGTGCCTACATATGATATTTCATTTGATTGCTTTCGTAATAAAGTTGCCATTGCGCATGCGCAAAACCAAATTTTGCAACTGCTGTTAGATTTGTCTTTATTCCAAATGCCTATGTATAAAATTTCATTTAAATATCTTCATAAATAAAAAAGTTAGCATCGCACATGAGTTACACCAAATTTTTGATATGGGTATGCCCGGAATCATTGGACCTTGAGCCAAGACCTTTCAAATGAGTCCTATATCGCCAAAATCGGTTCAGTGGTTTAGAAGGAGTACGTGTGACGGACAGACGGACGGACGTCAAAGTACAGCCAATAGCGATTTTTCGCTTTGAGGAAAATACGCTAACAAAGATTGAAACACACAAAAAATAAAAAATGTGGCATACAAAACACTAATACGATATAAAGAATTGCAAAAATTACTACCTGTATAATGCATTAAATAACACAAAATAACAACAAACATTTATGGAGCGAAGCGTTCACAACCGCCATGCCACTCAAAACATGATACCCATATATATAAGAGAAGTATATGATGATACCAAACGTAATCCACGTTCGTGGTCTTCAGATGGCGCAGGCAGCTTTTTCTTTTTCCCACTAATATTTCCCACCTAGAAATTGCATGGTTGCCAACTTTCAAAAATGTATGTATCGTCGTAAGTTGTATTATACAGGGTGTAACCTTTCAGGGTGTTTCAATGTATATCGTTTAGCAGTACCGTAGTAAGTATTTTTCGCACATTTCCTTTTTTTGACGGCAAAAGTATGTAAGACAATGAAGCGCTGTCAGAAGGGGAAAAAAGGGACGAATAATAGCCCCCCTCCTCGGCTTACGTTTTTATTTATTTATTTATTTATTATCCCTCTCTTGTTCTGGACCCTCAACAGGCTTGCGCCCACGGTTGCTCAGGATGAGACTCATAATGATCAAATTAGGCTCAACTAACTTTTATTTTCCTGTTAAGAGACCGTAAAAGGGAGGTGGTGGCTTTAGTTTCGATTCCGACTTCCGAATAGTACGTAAAATCAGTTAAGAAATTCTTTGGGGTTTTATTAAAATTAAGAATTAGGGAAGGAAAAAGAATGTGGATTAGAGAGGAAATGATATGTGTAACGGGAACCCTTTAGTGGGTTTGATTTTTTTCGAATTTTTGTAGGGTAGGTACCTACCTCAGTTTTAGGGGTGAAATATTAGGAAGTATACATCAGGGTGGAACCTCTCAGTTATGCATCGAAACGTTCGGAGAAAATGATTAATAGTTTGTTGGTGGGAGTAAGGTATTGAACGACCATAATTGCTACATGGTTGAAGCTCGTTGTCGTGATTATATGTGTTCTTTCAAAGCCTTGTCAAAACAACAGCATTCCTCCAGTTTTTTTTTCTTTTACTTCATCATTAAAGCTTTACAAAACACAACATGCAAATTTAAAATACCAAGTAAAACAAAATGTACCTACTTAATATGTTTCTGTACGCGAGTACATATTATAATACAATTACATAATAGATTCAAAGAAAGCTGCAGGTAAACCAATTTCTCTTCTCTTGCCTCTCATTGTAGCTATATCTGTATCATTTAAATTATTCATTGGGTCTATTTATCTATAGGGAAAAAAGGACGCTCGTTGTACACTTTACTCACTTCTTGATGCCCCAACAAAGAATGCTGATCGCCTCCATTTCGTGCATCATAGCTTTCTCCCTTTTCAAAATGCTTATTGTTATTGTAGTGACCTTGATCACCATCCGCGTTAACGACAGAATGTTTGGAATCGTAATGACCATCATCTTTCTTTGCTACTTCATTATAACCTCCTTCATCGTGCCCTCCCTTGTAGGCAGAAGCACTATTTTTACCGAAGCTTCCGGATCCTTCTCCAAACTTGTGGTTACCACCTTCATTATGAGCTTCATCGTAATACTCTTCAGTTTTAGAATCTTCGTCCTTATGGTGGGATTTCTTAAAACCTTTTACTACGTGTCCCTTTTTGTGAGAAGCTTTTTCTTGCTCTTGCCCACCTTGCTTTCCTATAAGAATGACAATTATCGCACCCTAACAACATATGTATTTATACTAGACCTTCTTGGTTGACATGTTCACTTCCGTGGTAAGATTTTCCATCATCGGCCGACTTCCTTTTGCCCACTTCTTCGTTATGGTAGCCAGAGTTTCCCTTGCTACTTTTTACGTTCGCGTTTCCACGATTATAACCAGCTTGGTCTTCGACCGAGTGTTCACCATGACTTCCATGCAGCTTTTCGTAGTTGTCGTCTTTGTAAGTCTTGCCGCCCTCGCTAAACCTCTGACCATCGTTATAACCACCACCACCTACGTGATTATAATAAGAATAACGCGGTTGGTAGTAAGGTCTCCTGTGATAATCGGAATGCGTATATGGATGACGATCAAATCGTCTATAATTGGGACGAAACAGCCCCGAAGAATGACTAAAATCCAAATCTGGATAATAATCTCTACGCACACTATGATATCCGCGTACAGGGATGCTTGTGGCATCACTTTGCATTACATCTTCCGTTTGATACCTGTATTCATAAGATGGCCTTCCGTATGGTTCCGAACACGCGAAATGATGAAGAGTGATTAAAATAAGCACTGGCAAACGCATTTTAAGTACTTGTTAGAGATGTTCAGGAGAAATACCTAGATGTACTGAGTAAAAGTTCATATTTGACAAGTATTTATGGTAAGGACGGATATGCTTGAATAGTTTGATTTTATTCTATAAGCTGGTAAAATGAAACGGTTTTAATTTAATAAATCATTTGACCTTAAAGAGATTATACTCTACTACCTTTTTAATTAAACGTTGTCCTTAGATTAACAACTGGTAGGCATACTGTAGGTACCGGAAATGCAGTTAAAAGAGGATAGCGTTTTGCACAAAATAAAGGTCAAAGTATTAATTTCGTAATAGTCAAACTTAAACGATTACAAGCTTAAAAATTTAAGCACATATACACATAGATCAGAAACATAAAAGGGCGTGTGCACTGAATTCGTTTTGTGAAACGTACTCCCGTAAATTCGCCCCTAGAAAGAGTCGCTTACAGAAAGATTCGCCGCCGACTTATTCGCCCCCCGGCAGATTCACTCTCGAAAAATTCTCCTCCGGAATATTTTACTCTCGGAAAATTCACCCCCAGAAGCTTCGCGCGCAAACACCCCACTAAAGATTTTGTTGCAAGAAAAATCACCTTCGGAATATTCGCTCACAAGGCAACTCTCCTCAAGAATATTTGGTCCCAGAAAATTTTCCGGCAGTATCTTCGCCAAGATCGTCATATCGTCTTAACACTTTCGAAAAGTAACGTTAGTATGATTGAAGCCATGCCAGCTCTCGTAAGGACGTAAGGAATGGCTTAACGAACCCATACTCCTGGTTAAAAACAGGGGTAAAAATTTTCCGCGTAAATCTTTCGAAGTTGCATCTTCCGGGGGGGAATATACCGCGGATAATATTCTAGAGGTGTATAATATTTCAGACGGCGAATTTACCTGTGGGCGTATCTTCTTGGAGCCTAATATTTCGGGGGCGACTTTCTCGTAGAAAATTTTTCGGGGCGAATGTTCCTGCAATCGAGTTATAATAATCAATATACAGGATGTTTCTAAATATGATGTATATAGGGGCTAAACCTTTGGCTTGTTTAATAACTAAAAGTTCATATAAACATAGGTCCACAAATCCTTCGTTACCGATCTACAGGGTGTTATAGTTCTACCGTACATTTTACAATTTAAACCTTTAATTTATAAACATATGGAAACATAAGATAGAATTTTCAATGCCAACTGTCAAGAGTAATAAAAACAAGATATTATCGAAATAAATCCAAGGTCCACTGGATCAATTTAAAAATTATACTTTCATTTAGCTATAACTACCGAAAATTGATTTTTATTTTTAGCGCATTTTTGAAAAAAATACGCTATTATACTCGCTATGGCTGGCTGGCCGGCTGTCCGGGTGAGATCTCAGCAACTACAATAGCTAGCCACTTCAAATTTTCACTAAAAACTTTCTGCTATAGTGTAGATCTGCAGGCTCTAGTCTATTTTGAGTTAGATTACTTGTGAGATCGATAATTTAAGAAAATAATTTCGATATGGTTACCAGTATAAAAACTTAATTATTTACTTTGTGATTTGTTTTACAAAATAAAGACGTACCCTCAATTGGAATTAAATAAAATTAATTATTTAAGGCAGCCAAAATTACTCGTGAGATCTAGAATTTTAAACTTCGCTAATATACTGAACTGTATTACCAAAAATGCGCTTTAATCATGTATATGCTGATTTAAAACTTGTTTTTTCGATAACGGTCACGGATACGAAAGAATTACAAGAGACTATACACTTTTTAAACAAGCGAGAAATTTAAATTCTTGTTCCACAATCTACCAGTGGCGCACCGAAAAAAGTTCAGGGGTAGAAAATGGAACATGGCCCCTGAAAAAACAATACCTTGTAGATTTTCACTAACATTGACATGACCAATGATGTAAGCTCTTCAGTGTAATATATCAAATTTGAGCGAAATATCTCCAACCGTGTAAGTCTATGTATATGAACTTTTAGTCATAAAATAAGCCAAAGAATTCCTCCACTCTTCTGTATTTACATCATTTATAGGAATACCCTGTATGGAAAACATTTCCGTTATTGACTAACGCACAGCCGAAACTACTGGGCGTAGAAACCTGAAATTTGGCATGTAGGTTCCTTGGGCATTGTGGGGTGGGGTGGGGGTTGGGGGTAATTATAGATCACCCTAAAATCCTATGGGAACGGGATTTTACGTTTTACAGTCGAAACTGCGAAAGATAGCAAACTTGACACGTAGAACGTAGGGTTCTTTGAAGGGGCTAAGGTTCACTCCGCTCGTCCCGAAATTCCCACGGGAACGGGAAAAAACTGAATTGAGACAGAGGGTAATGCAATGTTACTGGAGAAGACTGTAGGTCCATGTGCAATAACACAACATAAGACGAATGCATACAATTTTCAGTAGGGGACTTTTTTGACACTCAACCTGGTTCATTGAAATCAATCAAATCAAATTCACTTAAAATTCCTTTCGAAAAATTTCTCTAAAAACCGCACACGGCACAATTTCGTCAGATCTCCTTTAGTAAATGGGTTAAAAGGTTGTATTTTTTGTATTCTAGTTAGGATTTAACGGAACTGGCATTTGGTGTCAATTATTCAATGGTAGTAGCATAGTTAGTTCATCATGCCAATCCCAAAGTCAGTGAAACATCTACTTTCGTTACGCTTAGTTTTTACCACATTTGCCCCTAAAAACTTAGTCATATTTGTGAACTCTTTGTTTGTTGGTCCATTCGTCAAACCCCTGAAACGAGATCGTACTGACATGGCACGTGTTTTTAAATATTGCAGTAATAGTCCAGTACTTTCTGATTACAAAAGGTCCGGTAGAAGATTTTATTTTTCCGACTTGTTTAAATGGTAAAGAGAGAGAAAAATCCAAGTTTGCCAATTCGACTGACGTCGTGAGAAAATTCTGTGGTCAAAAATCTGCAAAAATTTCTTTCTTTTTGTCGGTTTTTTTAATATAACTCACCAACGGTAATACTTAGGTAAAAACATCCTTAATTAAAAACTGTAGTGTATAAAAGTACCTTTAATTTGATATTTTATTTGGCCCCCTAACATGCGTATAGTTTAGGAGATACACTAATTTAAAGTTTCGTGTTTATATAGTAATTTTTGAAAATAAACCATCTTTTACGTAGCTGGACTTGAAAATAAATTTACACAAATAGATTAGTTATAGGTACATATAGAAATAAATATCCAAATTTATAATCTTTAAATTTTTGCTGAAATCTATTTTTTCAAAAATTAAATAAAAACTAGAAACTTTGACTTGATGTATCTCCCAAACAACACTATTGTAACACAGTAAGTACCTGCACAAGTGGACAAAATTGACAGTAACACTAACTGAACTGATGAAATGACAAATAGCCAAGCAGTGTTGCAAATTTGAAATGCTCCCTGTGGTACCTACCGTTTTACTGAAAAAGCGGTAGGTTTAAAAATTTAACGGCAGGTTTTGTATAAAGGCCATGTTACAAACTAAATTAGCTCAGGTTCATGACATTAGACATTAAAGACATTTAATTTTACCAACGTAAACAAGTAAAATTGTGCACAACTCTTAATTAAAGCGCATTTTTAAACCATCACCAAAAGATATATTTCTTCCAGACGTCCCAATCGCCTTTTGTGAGTACCTTTCCAGACAATCCGCTCTTGAGATATAAGTAATTATAAGCGATCACGATAATGGGTCGAGGAGGAAGACTATGATTGGTAAAAGGTAATTCCTTTCAATGAATCCATTCATTAGAGTACCACGAAGGATAAAACAAGTCCCCTCCCCCCCCTCTTTTTGATAAGGGGTTAGAAAGAAAGCCGGGAGCTGGTAGAAAACAGGTATACTTTTTTGCCTTTTAATTAGAATACCATGGAAGATAATACCTCCACCCCGCCGGTCACCCAGTGATGTCGAAACAGAATCGCGCAGGAAGGTTATAGGTAATTTGTAGAAATCAATTCATTTCGATGAGACATTTCATTAGAATACCATGAAGAGAACGTCTATTTACCCCCTCTCCCTCCACCATTTTCAAAATTTTGACATGACATCACTAGATGCATGTACATACAAAATCTGAGTCAAATTAGTGGTTCCACATTTCCTTTAATTCTTAAAAAATGCGCTTATTATTTTTAAAAATTACTATACACACAACACACGAAACTTTAAATTAGTGTATCTCCTAAACTATAAATGTTAGGGGGCCAAATAAAATATCAAATTGAAGGTACTTTTATATCCTACCGTTTTTAATAATGGATGATTTTACCTAATTTTTACAAATGCTGTTGTATCTATACTTTCTATAAAACGAGTGGGATGATATTTTGAACTCGTATCGTATGAACCTTTTATGGCCCAAAACAAATAACTTTCGAGATGTTTTAAAACACAAAAAATGTGGAAGTATCTGGGCGCAGAACGCATATCTTAGTCCTTGAATCAGTGATATTTTTACGAGGTGGTTCTGGTTACATCTGACACTTTGTCTTGGGCAAATCTACGACCAACACTCAAAATAATACTACAACACTGTAACATAACGATCGCTTTGGTGCCGGGTAACCGAGATATACATGTTTGAGAACCTTGTACATTGCTGTTTTACGCTCAAAATACGGATAGGATATAAACCGAGATATAAACTGATTCGTTACCAGCACAAAAAGTGTTTATTGTGTGTCTCTAGTAATCCATATTCAAGCAATCTATGAATAGAGAAAGAAGTGAAATGGCTTCAAAGCAAGGTACTTAAAATTAGAGCACATATTCTAAATCGGTGGTTACAGCATCGACAATTTATTTAGTGGAGATTGTCGTGGGTAGAGTGAACTAAAGTCGTGTCCTTATGATGTACCACAAGGTAACAATTTGGGACCAATACCTTTTGTAGATGACATACAAGAACTTGTTAGTGCCTCTAAAAGATTTGTTATATGATGTATGCTGATGCTATTCTTCTGTACGTTTATAATACCATAAAGAAGTGTAAAGCGGTAATATAGAGTGACGTGATCAACAGTTTTGACTGAACATACGGTAGAAAGACAGTTTCTATGACTTTTAAAACAGCTCACGTGTCTTTAGCTAGACAAACTAAAATTAAAATTCATACCTGTTATTGTTTAATCAAAAAATAGCCTCCATTGCCTTTGTACGATATATGTATAGTAAATTAAACCATGTATCTAGACTATATAGCTATTAACAGTAATTTAAAATAGTGTAATTCGCGAGGTAAATAATAATTACTAAACACATTAACTCTTGCTATCACTTGTGTACCTACCTATTTATTTTATTTTAATATTCATTAATGGACCTTTCGAAAAAAA